GGGGGGGGTGGTGGTTGTTCGTGCTGCAGTTGGTTCTGTTGGTTCTTGTTGACTAGCTAAGGGCAGGGGCAGGGAGGCAGCAGCAGCAGCAGCAGCAGCAGCAGCTGCAGCAGCAGCAGCAGCGAGGAGTTTGCTGCTGCTGTTGCAGCTGCAGTTGCTGCTGCTGCTGCAGCAGCAGGGAAAGCTATTTGGATTTTCTCGTCTTTTGCTGACTCTCAGAAGCCCGCAGCTGCTGCCGGGCCTTTCAATTAATTCCACTGAAGGGCTTCCGAGCTGTCAGTCTGCTGCTGGCACTCTGCTGCTGCTGCTGCTGCTGCTGCTGCTGCTGCTGCTGCTGCTGCTGCTGCTGCTGCAGGAGTGGGAGGGGTCTACTGGCTGCTGCAGTCGTTGTGAATCGCAGAAGGAAGAAGTGCAAATAAGTTCGAAGAAAAGAAACTGCAGACGCGGCAAGAAGTCCAAGTCCCGAGCTGCAGCCCCAGGCAGAGGCAGCACGGCAGCAGCAGCAGCAGCAGCAGCAGCAGCAGCAGCAGCAGCAGCAGCGAGGAGTTCTTTAAAGTAAAAGCAAAATTGAATTTTAATTTAATTTCTTTTTTGCTTTTCTGTTTTGTTCAAATCGCTTTAATGCAGCAAGCAGCAGCGAAGAGCCGCAGCTGCGTAATGTGCCTCTCGCATGCCTGCGGCGGAAAAAGCCGAAGCTGAACTGCAGCGACAAAAATGCAGAACTTTTCCACTTTTTGAACTCTTTAATGCAAAACTTGAATTCTTTTTGCAAAACTTCTCCACTTTTCGAATTCTTTCGGCTTTTACTGCGCAGTTTTGCGCCAAATTTCCTTTTCTGGCGCTCCTCCGGCGCGTCCGCCGGACCGCCGGCTTTTTCGCGGGGTGTACAGACACCTCAACTTTTCCGAGCGAGGACCCGCCAAACTGCGGACTTGAGTCCTTTCTGCCGTTTTATTTCACTTTATTTATTTTATTTTGAATTCTTTGTTCCTTTTTGCTTTCTTTTTTCCCCTCAGTTCGTCGTTCGGGTGTCTAGACACCCCGCTCTCCAGCCGGGTGTCTAGACACCCCAGCGAACACAGCCAACAGTCGAATGCCTTTTGAACAAAACGGGCAAACAGAACAAATAAAGAAATAAACTTCAAATAAAAGCAAATATAATTGATATTCTTCATTAATTAAGGCCAATAAAGTCAAATGGAATAATTTAAAACAAATAAAACCAAATAACAGACAAAGAAAGTTTCCTTTAATTGCAAAAAGAGAAAATTAAAGCCACAAAAAAGAAAGGACAAAAAGCCTTTAAATGCGATTAAGTGCAAAAGAGTATTTAATTGCATGCACTGAAGGAGAAGAAGAGCAGCTAAAAAAGGAATTACAATTTATCTTTTTTATTGCAATAAGCATAAAGGGAATTGCCAATTAGGACTTTTTGAAAAGTCTTTTTTCTCTTAATTGCTCATTTGCTGCTGCTTCAGCAGCAGCACTTTTGCCCAATTACTTTAAAACAAATAAAAACATTTTGGGAAATTCAAAAAGACTTTTTCAAATTCAGAAAATGTCTTTTTTTAATTTTTTAAGTGCAGCAAAAGACTTCTTCAAATGTGCAGAGAGAGGCACTTAAAGTCATTTACACTTTCGTTATGTTTAAGTACCAAATAATTAATAACAAATATATTTGTCTGTTTAAATAAATAAATAAATAAATAAATAAATAAATAAATAAATAAATAAATAAATAAATAAACCAGTCAATCAATCAATCAAAAAACCGATAAATAGATAAATAGATAAACAAATGGATAAATAAATGATAAAGAAATAAATAGACAAACACTAATGAATTAATATTTATTTATTTATTTATTTATTTATTTATTTATTTATTTATTTATTTATTTATTTATTTATTTATTTATATTATATTCTGTAATTTAATCTTTTCCATCTGAAAACAAAATCCAGACACCGCACGTGTGTGTGCTGCGGTGTACGTACAGCCCAAAGCAACAATGAAACTGCAAACAAAAGAAAAATAATTTAAAAATAAAATGCAAAATAAATTAAATGAATTCAAAAACAACTTTTTTGTTTTTAAATGCTTAAAAGTCATTTTAAATGCATTAAAAGGATCCCAATTTGCTTTCCAAAGCCTACTTCAGGGGTTTAGGGTTTAGGGCGTAGGCTTTAGGGTCTTGGGTTTAGGGTTTAGGGTTTAGGGTTTAGGGTTTAGGGTTTAGGGTTTAGGTGTAGCTGCCACAAAGCAGCAGCAAATTGTGGAAGTAAAAAATAGAATATCTCTGAAGAGAAGACTTCCAAAAGAATCTTTTTTGTTCAATTTGAAAAAATAATTCTTTTTTATTTTTAAATTTTAAAAAAGAATAAATTTGGCTTTTTGCTGTGAAGAACGCAGCTGCCATCTGCTGCTGCTGCTGTCTTCTGTTGCTGCTGCTGTCTTCTGCTGCTGCTGCTGCTGCTGCAGCTGCTGCCTTTCGGCTGCAGCACGCTGCAGCACTTCGTTCTTCTAGGACCAAAATTTGAGCCTTAAGATATTAGAAATAACAAAATATAAATTAAAAACAAAAAAATAATTCATTTATCATTTAATAAAATGAAAAACAAAAGAAACTGAGTGGATTGCTGCTCCTGAGCCACCGGGTGTACGTACACCCCAGCGCCCAGCCCCAGCACAATTAAATTGGAAATCATTTTTAATTTAAAAATCATTTTTAATTTGAAAATGATTTTATTTAATTAAAATGAAACTTCAGAAGCTTGCGAAGTGAAACTGAGGAGCCACGGGGTGTACGTACACCCCAGCGATCGCCAGTCTTCTTCAATGCCACTTTTCAGAAACTCCTGCGGCAGCAAAGAAGTTCTTTATGCAGCAAATGGCAATTAAATGAAAAATAATACTTTTTGAAATAAATTAAAAGAATAAAACAAACAATTAGCGCACATAGAGCTGGCAGCAACTCCAAAGACACCGCACAGCAGCAGCAGCTGCAGCAGCGGGAGGAGAAACAGCTGTAGCAGCAGCAGCAGCAGCAGCAGCAACGCCTGCTGCTGCTGCTGCTGCTGCAGCTGCAGCGGCGGCAACACAAGTGTGAACGGGGATCCCAAGCAGCTGCTGCGACAGCTGCAGCATTAGCTGCTGCGGCAGCAGCAGCAGCTGCTGCTGCGGTTGCAGGTGCCGCAGCAGCTGCTGCAGCTGCTGCATCTGCTGCAGCACATGCAGCTCTGAAGGCAATGGCGTCAGCAGCAGAAGCAGCAGCAGCGTCCCGCACAAGCAATGCAGCATCAGCAGCAACAGCAGCAGCAGCAACTGCAGCAGCAGCAGCAGCAGCAGCAGCAGGATGTGAAGAAGAAAGTCCTTCCTTGTTGTTTGTTTTGGTGTTCGCCAATGGATTTGCTGTTGCTGCCTACCCCGACTTGCTGCTGCTGCTGCACCCAGAGCGCTTTTGCTGCTCCGTGCTGCTGCTGCAGCAGCAGCAGCAAGCAGCTGACGCTGCAGGAGGCCCTCCATGGGGGCGACTGCAGCACTTCCCGAGTGTTTATTGTGTTGCTGCTGCTGCAGCAGCAGCAGCTCCTCCTGCTGCTGCTGCAGCAGCTCCTGCTGCTGCTGCCAGCAGCAACTTGTGGCGCCGCTTTAATGAAGCAGCAGATATCAGGCGCTGCTTCTCCCTTAGGCCGCTGCTGAACACAAATCTGCTGCTGCAGCAGCAGCAGCGGCCAGACAGTTTGGCCTTGCAGCAGCAGCAGCAGCAGCAGCAGCAGCAGGTGCGCAGCGAGAGCAGCAGCAAATACTGCTTGCGGAAGGGCCTCCCCAGCCCTCCGCTGTGGCCTCCAGAGTCAGTTTTGCTGCAGCAGCTGCTGCTGCTGCAGCAAGCAGCAGAAACATTGCTTCAGCAGCAGCGCAGTGGCCAGTGGTTGGGAAGCAGCGGCAGCAGCATACTGCAGCAGCAGCAGCAGCAGCAGCTAGCCACAGCCCTAGGCCAAGTTGCCGCAGCAGCAAACCTGCTGCAGCAGCAAGTTCAGGTGGACCCCAATACAGGGGTGCTGACAGTCAGCAGCAGCAGCAGCAGCAGCAGCAGCAACAGGGATGGGTCGTGTGGCACACAAACATGGCCGCAGCCGCAGCAGCAGCAGCAGCAGCAGCAGCAGCAGCAGCTCCACTGGGAACAGAAGTATTCGCTGCAGCTCTGCTGCAGTGGGCAGCTCTGTGTGCTGCAGTGGCCTGCTGCTGCCCCGGAGCAGCGAGCCGTGAGTGTGTCCCCAGTGGAGCAGCAGCAGCAGCAGCACAGCAGCAGCAGCAGCAGCAGCAGCAGCAGCAGCAGCAGCTTGCAGGGGAGCAGCGCCGTGTGCGTGGAGCTGCAGCACGTGTGGTGGAAGATGCAGCAAGTGCTGCCGACTTCTTTGCTGCTGCACTGCTGCAGCAGCACTGCTGCTGCTTGGCTGCCGCTGCTGCTGCTGGCTCTTTGCATGCGGCTGGCGCTGCTGCTGCGCGACGAGCTGACGGACCAGCTACAGCAGCTGCAGCAGCAGCAGCAGCAGCAGCAGCAGCAAGGAACGAAACTTGCGGCTTCTTCTGCTGCGCTTTCTGAACAGCAGCAGCAGCAGCAGCAGCAGCAGCAGCAGCAGCAGCTAGCAACTACGCAGCGGCGGGAGGTTCTCCTCGCCACACTAGAGCAAGCAAAGGAGGCACAAGCCAAACTCCACCATCACCAGCAGCAGCAGCAGAAGCAGCAGCAGCAGCAGCAGAAGCAGCAGCAGCAGCAGCAGCAGCAGCAGCAGCAGAATGAAGCTCTGGTCACTTCAGGGTCGGGCCCCGGAAGTGCCCCTGTAAGGGGCTGGGCGGGAGGCGAGTTTGTGGGTGCAGCAGACACGCCAGCAGCAGCAGCAGCAGCAGCAACAGCAGCAGCAGCAGCAGCAGCAGCAGCAACAAGCAAATTATCTGGGCGGGGGACGCTGCCTGTGTTAGGGCAGGAAGCAAAAGACATGAAGTGCATTTACTGCTGCAGGACAGCAGCAGACCTTTCGCTGCCGCTGCAGCTGCTGCAGCTGCTGCAGCCCTCAGCTGACGGAGCAGCAGCAGCAGCAGCAGCAGCAGCGGCTGCTGCTGCTGCTGCTGCATCCCCCTGGGGGTTCAGCAGCAGCCTGGAGTCTCTTTTGTTTGCTGCTGAGCTGCCCGCCGTGTCTGGGGACTGCAGCAATCCGCTTTTTTTGTTTCTTCCTGGCCTAGGCCTTGTGTTTGCTGCTGAAGGCCACGCTGCTGCTGCTGCTGCTGCTGCTGCTGCTGCTGTGGCTGTGGTTGCAGCTCCCGGAGCCCTGACCCTTCCCGACCTCTGTGCTGCTGTTGCTGCCGACTGCGCAACAGCAGCAGCAGCAGCAACAGCAGCAACAAATGAAAACGCAGCAGCAGCAACAGCAAGAAATGCAGCAGCAGCAGCAGCAGCAGCAGCAGCAGATTCGGAGAAGACGGGGAGCAGCAGCCGCCAGCGAGCTCCAGGCGCGGAGCTGTGGGTGCCTCTTAGGGCCTGGCCTTTGCCTCTCGGCGTTAGCCTTAGCAGCAGCAGCAGCAGCAGCAGCAGCAGCAGCAGCAGCAGCAGCAGCAGCGGGCGCAGCTTCTGCTGGCAGCAGATTGACGCCAGAGGCTCTCCGAAGCAGTTTGTCTGGACCTGGACCTTGCGGGCAAACCGGCGGCGGTCGAATTTGCTGCTGCTGTTTGCTGCAGCAGAGTTGCTGCTGCAGTGGCGGCAGCAGCAGCAGCGCCGCGTGCTGCTGCTGGGGCTGCTGCTGCTGGAAGCAGCAGCTGCTGTTGCGCCTGAGGCGCAGCAGCGCCTCCAGACTTCTTCAGCTGCTGTTGACGCATGTGCTGCTGCAGTGGCCGACGCGACTGCTGCTGCTGCTGCTGCTGTTCTGGGCTGGCTGCGCCCCAGTGCTGCAGCAGCTGTGGCAGCAGCAGAGGCTGCTGCAAGTGCTGAGGACCTTGCTGCTGCAGCAGAAGTGGCTCGCACTGCAGCAGCAGCAGCAGAAGTTGCCGTGCAGGCGTTTGTAGCTTTGCTGCACCGCAGCCATGCAAAAGAAACCTCGAGCTTGCAGCAGCAGCAGCAGCAACAGCAGCAGCAGCAGCAGCAGCAGCAGCAGCAGCAGCGACAGCAGCAGTTGGCAGCGACACGTGGAGGCCATAAAAATCTGCAGCAGCAGCAGCAGCACCCGCGAAGCGAACCCCCAGCTGAGGGCCCCACGTTTCTCAACAGCTTTTCCTGCGGGTCGGGGTCTTCATTCAGTGCTGCTGCTGCTGCTGCTGCTGCTGCTGCTGCTGCTTCCTGCTGCAGTGCAGCAGGTGACCAGTGGTCAGTCCGGCGGGCTGAGGCCTCTCCGTGGCAGCAGCAACTCACAAAAATTTTAAGAGAGCTTGCGGAAGTCGCAGGCCATGTGGCTGCCTGCAGGTGCACCTGTGCACGCAGCAGCAGCAGCAGCAGCTGCTGCTGCTGCAGCAGCAGCAGCTGCTGCTGCTTCGGGGTGAGGCAGCGCAGCAGCAGCAGCAGCAGCAGCAGCAGCAGCGTGTCCTGCTTCCAGTGCCCCTTCTCCCTGGTCAGCTTTGAGCTGCCGGAGTACTTTGTGGCTTGTGGGGTGACCAGTGGTCACCTTGAGGTGTCTGTACACTTCGCACTTTGCTGCCAGCAGCAGGCAGCAGCTTCTGGGGAGCCCCCGTGGCACTTTGTGGCGCTGCAGCGGCAGCAGCTGCTGCTGCTGTCGCTGGGGGCGGAAGCAGCTTCGTTTATAGGAGCAGCAGCAGCTGCTGGTGCTGCCAGTACACCCCAAAGCACCGCAGCAGACGCAGGCAGCGAAGTGCGCCCAGCAGCAGCAGCAGCAGCAGCAGCAGCAGCAGCAGCAGCAGCAGCAGCAGCAGCAGCGGGGGTTGTGCTGCAGGCACTGACTGTGCGGTCGCTGCAGACGCAGGAGCTGCTGCTGCAGGCCAACGGCCCAGTGGCGGTCGAGGCTGCGCTGAGCAGCGCAGCAGCAGCAGCAGCAGCAGCAGCAGCAGCAGCAGCAGATGGCAGCAAGTTGCTGCCAGCTGAGGCAGAGCTGGGCGTGGCAGTGCTGAGAGCCGCCGGCGCTGTTCTCTCGTGGGCCAGTGAGGAGCAGCAGAGACGCAGTGTACGTACACCTCACGGCTAGCTGCGCTGCAGCAGCAGCAGCAGCAGCAGCAGCAGCTTTTCTGTCTTTGTGTCTGGACTGATGCAAACTTAAAGAAGTGGGAAGCAGCTATTTGCTGCTGCTGCAGCGCGCGGGCCCCCATCCCCCGTTGTCGCCCTTCAGCTGCACAGTGTAGGGCCTTTCGCGTTTGCAGAGGAGTTGTTTGTATCTACTTGTTTTATTTATTTATTTATTTATTTATTTGTTTGTTTATTTATTAATTAATTTATTTATTTACTATTTATTATTAAATAAATAAATAAATAATTAATTAATTAATTTAGTTGTGTTGTTCACTGATTCAACAAAAGACCTGGGAGGGAAGCAGCGCGAAATGTGAAAAAGAAGTGAAGTGGATTTTATTTCATTTGCTGCTGCTGCTGCAGCAAATGGACGGGGTGTACGTACACCTGTGCAAACTCAGGTGTACGTACACCTGAGTTTGCAGAAGTTTCCCTTTTGCATGCAGCGGATCTGAGTCTTCATTTTATTTAATTTTAGTTTGAAAAGAAGATAATAACTTTGCTGCAGTTTCCTCTTGATTGAAATTTGAAAAAAACGAAATATAGAAAATGAATATTCAAAAATAGAGTCTGAAGTGAATCTTCAAAATAAAATCTGAAATAAGTCTTTAAAGGATAAAATATAAAGGAAGTCTTTGAAAAATAATATGAAGTGTAAAGAATAAAATAAATCTTTGAAAAGTGAAGTCTGAAATAAATCAGAAAAAGTCATTTTCTTGCGCTTTCCATCGAGACTGCGAAGTGCCACTCTGGCACTTTTTCTGCAGCCTCTAAGCAGCTTTTTTCGCAATTAAAATAATATCTCATCAGCTTTATAATTAAAAGAAATAAAAGTGATGATAATTGAAAGAAATATTTCGAATAAGTGGCATTCACTTTTGCAACCTGCAGCTGTACATACACCCGAACGCGGCAGCAGCTCGCGGGCCTCAGCGACTTGCGCGGGAAAGCTGAAGCCAGAAGAGAAACTGTTTGGATATTTTGATTAAAAAAGAATAATTTGAAAGTTATTAAAAAGACTTTTCAAGAATAAACTCTGCGCCACACCCCGAGGTGTCTAGACAGCTCAGCGAGCAGTGGCAGCCGACTCTTCCCGTCGCCAGCGTCATTTTCCTTCTAAATTCCGCATTTTTCTGATTTTTTTTCGCTTTTTATTCATAATAATACAATTTAGAAATGCTTAATTGGTTCAGTGGCCCTCATTGGGGCGTTTTCGCTCCAGTTTCCCGCATCGATGTCTTGCTGCTGCCTTCTTGAGTCTCGCCGCCCCGGGGCTCTCTGCTGCTCCACGCGCAGCAGCCCTCGTTGGCATGCGGGGCCTTCGGCGCCTCGCGGCGGGGGCCTTGGCCTGGCTCAGCAGCAGCAGCAGCAGCAGCAGCAGCAGCAGCAGCAGCAGCAGCAGCAGCAGTGAGGCTGCTGCTGCCTTCACCAGCTTCTTCATTGCTTCTCCTCCTCTTGCTGCTCACCGCAGCAGTCCTTCCCACCAGGCTGCCTTTACAGCCTGCGCCTTGCATGCCCCAGGGGGGCCCCCCGGGGGCCCCTCAGGGGGCCCCCCTGAGGGGCCCCGGGGGGCCCCCCTAGGGGGCCCCCCTGAGGGGCCCCCGGGGGCCCCCCTAAAGCATTTGAAAGACTCTCCTGCGTCTGAAGAGCTGCTGCAGCTCGTGGCGGTTCTGCGGCAGCAGGAGAAGGCGGGGCGGCGGCAGCGGCAGCAGCAGCAGCAGCAGCAGCAGCCCGCAGCAGCAGCAGCAGCAGCAGCAGCAGCAGCAGAACTGGAGAATATAGATGGCCTGCTGCCGCTCTTCAAACCCTCAGGAATCACTTCTGCGGATGTCTGCAGAGTTGTGAAGCATTTAATTCGCAGCAGCTGCAACTCGGGGGCCCCCGGGGGCCCCCCAGAAAAGGGTACTAAATGGGGGGCCCCCCCAGCAGCGGCGGCTGCGAGTTGGGCACGGAGGGACTTTAGACCCTGCGGCCTCTGGTGAGCTTTTGCTGCTGCTGCTGCTGCTGCTGCTGCTGCGCTGAAGCAGCAGGCGAGCACAAGCTGCTGCTGCTGGAGTTCGGCCTTAGGGTTTAGGGTTTAGGGTTTAGGGTTTAGGGTTTAGGGTTTAGGGTTTAGAGGTAAAGGACGTGCGGGCTTTGAGCTTCTCAGGGGTTTTGGTTTTGGGCATCGGGCGGGGGACGGCGCTGCTGAAGGATTTCCTTGACGGTGCGCAGCAGCAAGAGCAGCAGCAGCAGCAGCTGCTGCTGCAGATCTTCATCTAGGCAGGGTTTGCTGCAGGGCGGGTGCAGCGAGGGTTTGTTTGACTGCGGCGCCGCTCTTTGTCGCTCGCTAGGGTTTAGTGTTTAGGATTTAGGGTTTAGTGTTTAGGGTTTAGGGTTTAGGGTTTAGGGTTTAGGGTTTAGGGTCTGGGCAAAGGCTGTTTAGTGCCACGGCAGGAGAAGCTCGGGGTGTGTATTCGTGTGCCAGTACTTCTTAGGTCCCATTTCTTTTGCTGCTGCTGCTGCTGCTGCTTTTGCTGCTGCTGCTGCTGCTGCTTTTGCTGCTCCTGCTGCTTCCGCTGGGCTTGCTGCTGCCGCTGTTGCTGTCGATCCTGCCCCTGCTGCTGCTGATTCTGCTGCTGCTGCTGCTGAGCGTGCCGCTGCTGCTGGTGGTGGCGATCCTCTTCCTGCTGCTGCTGCTGATCCTGCTGCTGCTGCTGCTGCTGCTGCTGCTGCTGCTGCTGCTGCTGCTGCTGCTGGCAGGGCCCAAGTGCTACGAAGCGCGGGCGCGCCTGGGGGTGGAGACGGACACACTTGACGCTGAAGTGTGTTTTTCTCTTTTGCAAAAAAGTTGAATTTAATTTAATTTAATTTAATTTAATTTAATTTAATTTAATTTAATTTAATTTAATTAATTTAATTCTTTAATTTAATTAAAGTTTCTAATTTAATTAAATCAAAGTGACTTGCTGCTCGCTAGATCCAAAATAAATCCTCAGAAGCAGCAGAACTCCTAGCAGCAGCAGAAACTGCTGCTGCTGCTGCTGCTGCTGCGCTGCAGCAGCTGCTGCTGCTGCGCTGCGGTCTTTGCTGCTGCAGGGCCGGGTGGTGCGGGAGGCCCCGTGGGAGGGGGTGACCACTGGTCAGCTGGCAGCAGCAGTGGCTTCTTTTGAGGGCCGTTCTTACCTGCAGCAAACTCCTCTCTTCTCGGGTAGGTGCCTTGCAGCTCTGCTGCAGTTGCTTCGCGCTGCTGCTGCTGCTGCTGCTGCTGCTGCAGTTGTTGCTGCAGCTGTTGCTGCGGTGCTGCTGCTGCTGCTGCTGCTGCCGTTCTTGCGGCGGTGCTGCTGCTGCTGCAGTTGCTGTTGCTGCTGCTGCACTTGCTGCTGCGGTACTGCTCCTGCTGCTGCTCCAGTTGCTTCTGCTGCTGCTGCTGCTGCTGCTGCTGCTGCTGGTTCAGCAAAGCGGGTGCGGGGCCGGCAGCTGTACGAGCTGGCCCGCGAGGGCGCCGCCGTTGGCCCCGAAGAAATGCCAAGGCCTTCTTTGGTGTCAGTGAACAGCATCAAGCTCCGCAGTCCTGCTGCAGTGGAGGTGAGCTGCAGCAGCAGCAGCAGCAGCAGCAGCGGTAGCAGCAGCAGCAGCAGCAGCAGCTGCAGCGGTAGCAGCAGCAGCAGCAGCAGTAACGGTAGCAGCAGCAGCAGCAGCAGATGCAGCAGCAGCAGCAGCAGTAGTGGTAGCAGCAGCAGCAGCAGCAGTAGTGGTAGCAGCAGCAGCGTTAGTGGTAGCAGCAGCAGCAGCAGTAGCGGTAGCAGCAGCAGCAGCAGTAGCGGCAGCAGCAGCAGCAGCAGCGGTAGCCGGCCAGCAGCGGCTGGCTGTGTCTCCCTTGCTGCTGCATAGGAGCCCTCAGGCCTAGGACTTGTTAGGGTTTAGGGTTTAGGGTTTAGGGTTTAGGGTTTAGGGGCGCAGCGTGCTGCTGCAGTCAGTTTGCCTTTGGGGGTTTTCATAGCTCGTTAGTTGCTGCAGCAGCAGCAGAAGCAAAGCAGCGGAAAGCCATTGTGCTGCTGCTGCGACTTTGCATGCATGCATGCATGCGTGCATGCATGCATGCATGCGTGCATGCATGCATGCATGAATGCATGCATGCATGCATGCAGCTGCCTTTCTTTGACTTCGCCGTTTGCTGCTCCAAAGGCACTTATATAAGACAACTAGCAGCAGATGTTGCTGCTGCTCTCGGCACTGTGGCCCACCTCGTGCTGCTGGTGAGAGCAGCAGCAGCACCGCCCAGCTGCTGCTGCTGCTTGCTGCTGCTTGCTGCTGCTTGCTGCTGCTCGCGGGCGCTTGCTGCTGCTCGCCGATGCCTGCTGCTGTTCACTGCTGCGCGCTGCTGCTGCCAGCTGCTGTTTGCTGCTGCTTGCTGCTGCTCGCGGATGCCTGTGCTTGTTGCTGCTGCTTGCTGCAGCTGTTTGCTGCTGCTGCTTGCTGCTGCTGCTTGCTGCTGCTGCTTGCTGCTGCTGCTTGTTGCGGCTGCCTGCTGCTGCTGCTTGCTGCTGCTGCTTGCTGCTGCTGCTTGCTGCTGCTGCTGCTTGCTGCTGCGGCGCCTGCCGCCTCCCCAGAGGTGCAGAGGTTTGGCAGGGAGAGCCCGCGGAAGCAGCAGCAGCAGCAGCAGCACTTTTTGCTTTTTGCTGCTGCAGGTCAGAACTCGCCAGGGGCCTTTTGCTGCGGAAGATTGTTTGCCCCTGGAGGGCCTTAATCGGCAGCAGCTGCTCAAGGGCCTGCTGCCCCTTAGCTGCGCCTCTCAGCTGCCAGCAGCAAGCAGCAGCAGCAGCAGCAAGCAGCAGCAGCAGCATGCACCAGCAAGTACCAGCAGCAGCAGCAAGTAGCAGCAACACGCAGCAGCAAGCAGCAGCAGCAGCAGCAAGCAGCAGCAGCAGCAGCAAGCAGCAGCAGCAGCAGCAGCAGCAGCAGCAGCAGAGCTGCACGAGCTGACCTGTCTGTATGGGCCTGCGCCCCAGCACGCGCGGTGTACGTACACCCCACAAACTTCATGGCTTTATTCTTTTTGACAAAACTCCTAATGAGTCTTTCAATTTTAATTTCTTTCAAAATTAAACATTTCTTTTATTTCTTTTAATAGCTAGCTAGCTAGCCAGCTAGCTACGGGGTAGCTAGCTAGCAAGCTAGGGGGCAGGCAGGTAGGTGGCTAGCTAGCTAGCTAGAGGGTCCCTCTGTGGCCATCGAGCTCGCTAGCTAGCTAGCTAGCTACGGGGTACCTCTGCAGCAGCTAGCCAGCTAGTTACGGGGTGCCTCTGCAGCCAGCTAGCCAGCCATTTAGGGGTCCCTCTGTGGCCATCTAACCAGCTGGCTAGCTATGCAAGGGTCCCTTTGTGGCCAACGAGCTAGTTATAGCTAGCTATTTGGGGGTCCCTCTGTGGCCAACTAGCTGGCTAGCTAGCTGTTCAGGAGTCCTTCTGTAGCCAACTGCCTAGCTAGCTAGCTAGCCGGCTAGCTAGGTCCTCTGGCCACCTAGCTAGCTAACCAGCTAGCTAGCCAGCTCGCTAGCCAGCTCGCTGGTCCCTCTGTCCACCTAGCTAGCTAGCCAGCTAGCTAGCCAGCTATCTAGCCACCTAGCTAGCTAGCTAGCCACCTAGCTAGCCAGCTAGCCACCTAGCTAGCTAGCTGCGGAGCCTGGGCAAGTTGAAAGGGCTTAAATGAGTTAAGTTGGTGCGCGGAGGCTTCCCTGTTGGGCCCCCGAAGAAGGGGCGGGAGTCTGGGGTGTACGTACACCCGAACTACCTGCCCACTTGGCTGGTGAAGTCGAACCGCCGGGCCCCATCATCCACTTCCATGGATTGTTTGCTGCTTTTTCCGGAGCCAGCAGCAGCAGCAGCAGCAGCAGCAGCAGAAGCAGCAGCAGCAACAGGTTTCTCGGGGGCCCCCGCGGGCAGGTTCTTACTGGCTGGGGCTGGCTGTGTCGCTGCAGCGGCGCCGCTGCCGCCGCTGCTGCTGCTGCTGCTGCTGCAGCCGTTCGGCAGCGGCGCCGCTGCTGCTGCTGCTGCTGCTGCTGCTGCTGCCTCCTCCTCGCCCGAGTCCGGCAGCACCGGCAAGCCGCTGGGGCCGCTGCAGTAGCTGTCAACTGGAATAAAAGAATCCAAAAACTCTTCATATTCGACCATTCCTTCGCTGTCCAAGTCCATGAAGTTCACCAACAAGTCTATTTGCTCCTCAGTCAGCGGAGCCCTGCGCCCAGCAGCAAACCCAAGCAGCAGCAGCAGTCCAGACCCAGCAGCGCCCTGCTGCTGCTGCTGCGGCACTCACCCAGCAGCAGCAGCAGCAGCAGCAAGAGGGGCAACAGCAGCAAGAAGAGCAGACGCAGCAAAAGAGCAGCAGCAGCAGCAAGAGCAGCAGCAGCAGCAAGAGCAGCAGCAGCAGCAACCAGAGGAGCAGCAGCAGCAGCAGCAAGAACAGCAGCACCAAGCAGACCCGGCGCATCACCAAGAGCACCCCATCCGCATCCACAGCACCCCCTCCCCATCCACACCGCCGCAGCAACCGCAGCAACCGCAGCAACCGCAGCAACCGCAGCAGCAGCAGCAGCAGCAGCAGCAGCAGCAGCAGCAGCAGACTGACTCCGTTCTGGCGAGGACAGTGTTGAGAGTGACGAGGGCAGCGCGGAAGTCCTCGGAGTCGACTTTGCCGGTCAAGTCGGGGTCGAACTGATGCAGCGCCCGCCGAATGCTGTTCGAGTGCTGGAACAGAGTCGTGCAGATCTGGCCCCACAGCTGCGCAGCAGCAGCAGCAGCAGCAGCAGCAGCAGCAGCAGCAGCAGCAGCAGCAGCAGCAGCAGCAGCAGCACAAAGGCGGCAGCAAGGAGAAGCAGAAAGGTGTGTGAGCTGTTGGGGAGCAGCAAAGTGGCGGGAGATGAATGAGGGGTTGCTTGAAGGCAGTTTGGAAAGTGTTTGGAATAAATTACTTTTAAAAACAATTATAAATAATTATATTTGTTTTAATTTGCATTTGTGTTTTATTTGTTTGAATTAAAGCAAACAAACGCGCAAAAAGGACAACGAATGCTGCTGCCTGGCCTAGCCTCCTGCTGCTGCTGCTGCTGCTGCTGCTGCTGCTGCTGCTGCTGCTGCTCACCTCTTCAGCAAGATTGTTGTTAGAGCTGCTGTCCACCACGTGGAAGGCCTGCAGGAACTCCAAGTAGTTTATGCGCTTCGACCCCGTGAGGTCAATCGCCTCAGCAACCTGCAGCAGCAGCAGCAGCAGCAGCAGCAGCAGCAGCAGCAGCAGCACGTATTTGCATTAGAACCTGATGTGTACAGACACATTTATCATGGAATGTGCACCTTTATACTTAATATATATTATATATTTGTATACACATTTATATATATTATAATATATATATATTATATATATATGTATATATATATATATATACATATATGTATAAGTATATTTACTATTATATATATTATCTAAATATATATTACATATATTCCATATATCTACAGTATAAATAAATAATATTATAAATGCATTTATTAAACCCAAAATATATTCACTGTATGTACACTGTACAAACACAAGTATGTACTTTATAGCGGGTGTACATACACTTGAAAATATGCATTTATTTGTTTAAAAAGAAAGAAGGATTTATTTACGAATTTAAATCGAGAAAAAGTCCTTTTTGAGTTTTTAAATTCCCAATTAATTCAAAACTGTAAAAAGATGATTAAACAGACAAAAGCACCGAACAAAGGAGCAGCAGAGCAGCAAAAAGCCAAAAAGAATTTCCGAAAAAGACAACAAAATAAAAACAAAAAAGAAAACTCACTCTAAAGAGATGTGCATCTGTGAGGGCAAATCCCAACTCCTCTTCGTCGATATTTAGTCGTTTTATGCCAGAGACAAAATCCTCATACGACAAGTACCCTGCAGCGCAGCAAACCGCCACACGCACCTGCTGCTGCTGCTGCTGCTGCTGCTGCTGCAGCGGATGTGCTGCTGCTGCAGCAGCAGTAGATCTGCTGCTGCTGCAGTTGGTTTGCTGCTGCAGCAGCTGCGCTGCTGCTGCAGCGCGCGAACTACCGGGACCTAGCAGCAGCCACCGCGGGCCTAGCCCGCGCCGCGGCAGCACCTCTGCTGCTGCTGCTGCTGCTGCTGCTGCTGCTGCTGCAGCGGCAGCTCACCGTCGCCGCCCTCGTTGTAGTCCTTGAACTTCTGGAAAAGAGCCACAGCGCGAACTGCTGAGCTGCGCCGCCTGCTGCCTCCCTCCCCCAAAAGGCCTCCGTCCTGCAGCTGCTGCTGCTCGTAATGCCTCGAAGCTGCTTCGGCTTTGTCTGCCAAAATGGCTTTGCCGATGCAGTGCAGCGCGCGGCTCAGCCAGGGGGTCTTCGACTGCGGGCTGCAGCAGCAGCAGCAGCAGCAGCAGCAGCAGCAGCAGCAGCAGCAGCAGCGGGGCGATTTAGATGCAAGTGCTTTTGCTGCATTTGTTCTGCAGCATTTGCGAAATACTACTTATTTCAAATTGCAGAATCTCAGGATCGCGCCGCAGAGCCCGGAAAGCCTGCTGCCGCTCCGCAGCAGCAGCAGCTGCTGCTGCTGCTGCTGCTGCTGCTGCTGCTAAGGGAATTCAGAAGATCGGAAGAAGACAAGACACTCTTGGGCACTCACTCTTCTTTAATTGAATTGGAATATACCACTTTGAAGCGCCCCAGGAACTCCGCCACGTCGATGCTGCCTGCTGCTGCATTAAAGGCCGGACTTGCCGTAATAAGGCGCATCAGAATCCGGACTTGCGGCTCGCTGAGGCCTGCAGGCCCCGAGCAGCAGCAAAGCAGCAGCAAAGCAGCAGCAAAGCAGCAGCAAAAGCCCCAACTAAAGCCGCAGCAGCTCCACTTAAAGACACACTTGAGTCAACTCCAAAAAAGCAGCAAGTTGGGGCTTTCTTGCGCTTCCAGGCAGCCACATGCATGCAACACAACCCGAATGTGCAAAAAGCCCCTTTCGTGCCTTCAAGCAGCTCCAGATGCAAATATAAAGTCGGAAATACATTTATAAACATTATTCTGGATTTAGGGAGCCATTAAATGCATATATTGTACATATATTGCACATATATTGCACATGCATGCGCAGAAAGCTGAAGTGCAGCTTCAGAGCCCCACCTATGTCCAAGTCCGAAAGGAGCTCGTTGAACTCGCGGAAAGAAACTGTGCCGTCGCAGTTTCGGTCGAAAAGCATCAGAGTTTCTTTCAGGCTGAGGTCAGCGCTCATGATGGACTCGAAGACCTGCGCAGCAGCAGCAGCACTGGCGGGACTTTTTCGGGGATGCGGGGCAACTAAGGCAGCAAACTGCTCCGCATGCAAACTGCAGCAGCCTTTGCATGCAAAGTGCGGAAAAAAGGAGAAAATTTGGAGAAAAAAGAAAGAAAAAGCTGCGGAAATGGCCGGAAAACGGACTCACCCGGGCCACGCATTCCTGCCGCCAGTTCAAGTGCTTGCAAATGGGCGGCCTGAAGTCCACTTTGTAGCGATATAAGAAGTCGTTGTAATGGACGAGTCCGTCTTTGCTGACTGCCTTCAAACACTTCATTATATTTACCCACGGCAGCTCCTGGCCCAGCACGATTGAGCAGGCTTCTCTGCAGACACAGCGCTCGCGAGCCGCAAAAGGAGTTCAAGTCCGAAAGAAAACCTTTTTATTAAGTTCAGAACAAAGTTTAATTCAGTTAAGTCCGAAAGAAAACCCTTTTTTGAGTTCAGAACAAAGAAACAATTCAGTTCAAGACAAGCTCGCGCATGCACGGGACACACAGCACGAAAACATGCAAAAGTGGAATGCCTGAGAGGCGGGGGAGTCAAATTCTGCAGAACTTCGAGAACAAAGACTTATTAAGAAGTCTGCTAAGGCCAAAAGTGGCTGGCTGAGGGGGAAGCTGGCAGCTGCAGCAGAGGCCGTTTGTTTGGCAGCAGAAAGCCTCGAACGGCGGCCAAAAGCGGGCAGCTGCTGCAGCAAAGAAGGGCCCCTCGAGTGCAGCAGTTGGAGAGTCTTTTTAGTTTTAAAAAGCAATTAAAAGGAGGAAAAGGAAGTGAAAAGGCGCAGCTTGCCTCCACTGTGCGGGGGTGATCTTGCCGGAGCCGTCGGAGTCCATGTTGAAGAAGCACCACCAAAGGTCTTGCTTTTTTTCGCAGACCATTTTGCACATTTTCTGGACTATTTCCTGACTCATTCGGGCCGCTGCGGAGCGCCTGTTGGCGCGCTTGGCCTGGGTTTCCAGCTCCTTCATCTTCTTCTGCAGCAGCACCTTCTGCGTGGCTGCGCAGGTCTCGCGGTGCAGCTGCTGGATTTCCTGCAGCGAAGGCGCCATGTACTCTTGAATTTCAAAAGACAAGTTCGCCTCAAAGATAATAACTCCTCCGTAGTTGCCGGTGGTCCCGCAGTAGTTCGAGGCGGAGAAGAGCGTCACGCAGCGCCCGTCGTGGACGGGCTCGAAGCCCCGCAGGTTCGTCGGCACCTGCACCGCAGCAGCAGCACCTCCCGCACCCATTGCTGCAGCTGTTTGCTGCTGCTGCTGCAGCAGCCGTTGCTGCTGCTGCTGCAGCAGCAGCAAACAGCTGCAGCAGCAGCTCGTTTCCGCGCCCCCCTCGCCGCTCGCCGGCTCCCGCTTCCCCCCCCGCAGCAGCAGCAGCAGCAGCAGCAGCAGCAGACCTGGTGGGAGCGAATGCAAACCTCCAAGTTGTTCTTCGTGAGGAAAGCATCCGTAACATCCGGGCCAAAAGCTATGCAATCCGCCCCCCGAGTGCTCCAGCCGCGGCCGCGGTCCGGCTGCGGGTCCGACCACAGCAAATCGAACATCAAAGTGTCTTCAAATGTGTGCGGAGAAGCCGGACAGGGCCTTTGTCGGTGGAGTTTGTCGATGTGGTGGAGAGTGATGTTGTCTTTGCGGCAGAGGCCGCCGTGGACGACGAAGACGCGCTTCTCCAGCACCACGCAGAGCGGCAGCAAGTGGAAAATGTCCTGGAACTTCTGGTAAAGCAGCCCGCCGTACTTCTGCCGCACTTCCTGCGCAAAGCCGTACACTTCGTTCATGTCTGCGCTCTCGTGGTTGCCCCGGTTTATTATCACGGAGCTTCCGCACTGCAGCTTGAAGGCAAACAGCAGCAGAAATATCTCCACTGAACTCCGCCCCCGATCCGCTATGTCCCCGTTGAACAAGTACCTGCATGCAACAACAACGCGGACCTTCAAACCCTAATTCGGGTTCAAAACACTAATTGGTGTTGAAAACCCTAATTCGGGCTCAAAACCCTAATTCGGGCTCAAAACCCTAATTCGGGTTCAAAACCCTAATTCGGGTTGAAAACCCTAATTGGTGTTGAAAACCCTAATTGGTGTTGAAAACACTAATTCGTGTTCAAAACCCTAATTCGTGTTGAAAATCCTAATTGGTGTTGAAAACACTAATTCGTGTTGAAAACCCTAATTGGTCTTGAAAACCCTAATTGGTGTTTCGAAAGCCTTGCTGGTGTTTCGAAACAATAACTGTTGTTTCGAAACAATAACTGTTGTTTCAAAACACTGACACTTATTTCAAAACCCTAACACTTTTTCCAAAACCCTAACAATTGTTTCAAAACCCTAACACTCGTTTCAAAACACAAACACTTACTTCAAAACCCTAACACTTCAAAACACAAACACTTTTTTTCAAAACACAAACACTTTTTTCAGAACACAAACACTTCAACAAGCTTATTTCAAAACCCAAACACTCCAACACATTTCAATCGAACACATTTCAAACTTTAAAAGCACGAAGACAACAGTTTTCAAATCCAAACAAGAAGGACAAAACAGCTCACAAAACCCTAAAGTGGCGAATTAAACAGATTTAAGACCCAAAAATCGAGAAGCAAACAGTTTAAAAACCCAAAGGCGAGGAATACAACAGATTTAAAAATCCAACACGAAAAACAAAACAGTTCTAAAGATCCCAAAAGGATTTTTGAAGCTGTTTTTGAGTAAAACAGATTCAAAAATCCCCAAAAATCCAACAACGACGAATGAAACATATTTAAAAACCCCAACAATTACAAATAAAACATATTTAAAGCCCAAATCGACGGATGAAACAGAGTTAAAAACCCAACAACAACAAACGCAACAGATTTAAAAACCCAACAACGACGCACAAGACAGACTCAAAAACACAGAAAAGGCGCATAAAAGGGAAATAAAAACTCAAAAACTCCACAAAAAAGAAAAACAAAAGTCCCAAAATCCGGAAAAAACAAAAAAAACCCGAAGCAACCGGAAAAATGGAGAAAAAGAACCGAAAAAGCCGAAGCAAACGAAAAGAAAACCAAAAACCTCCGAACAAAACCGAAATAAAGACAAATAATCCGAATAAGACCCAAATAAAACCCAAATTAAACCCAAATAGTCTCAATAAGACTCAAATAAAAGCCCAAAAACCCCAAAAAGTCCGGAAAAAAAGCAAAAAAAACCCAAATTTCCATTTTTAAAACCCCCAGCCTACACGTTTGTGGCCGAAGGCGGGCCGAACTTGTACAAAATCCAAAGAACGTCATTGAGCTGCCCATGGGTGTCGCCGACGAGCTGAGACCAAAGCCCAAGACCTCACAAAGCCAGACAAAGAGTTCTGCTGCAGTAGTTCTGCTGCAGCAGCAGCAGCAGCAGCAGCAGCAGCAGCAGCAGCTGCTGCAGCAGCAGCAGCAGCAGCAGCAGCAACAGCAGCTGCAGCTAAATGGCAGCAAATGGCATTTATTTCGTGAAGTGTTTACCACTAAACGGCCTCCGGGCTTCTTCGGGATTTCCACTTCGGCGACTGCGCCCTTCATGGTTTGTTTGTAATGTTCTTCGACGGCCATCACCAGCTCGAGGGCATACTTGCGGGGCAGCGGGACCTGCGCGGGCCACGCAGCAGCAGCTCTCTCGAGTTTGCAGCAGCAGCAGCAGCAGCAGCAGCAGCAGCAGCAGCAGCAGCAGCAGCAGCAGCAGCAGCAGCAGCAGCAGCAGCAGCAGCA